CATTTGACCTGACCCATAGATAAGTACACCAAACAAAGAAGCACCAAGTGACATACTGTTAAGTACTGTTGTTTCAAAGTACAAAAGTGATAGAACGAAGCGAATATCTCCAGTATTTTCCGAATGGAATATTTCCCCATAGGCTTAACATTACGACGTAATGACCTCTAACTAACTTCAGGTCAGTGACATAAAAAACGAACTATATGTTATACAGCTCGGTGAACTTAGCACATCCTGCAAGTTTGAAGGAAATCTATCCAAAACTGTGAATTGGACAGGTGCATAAAGAAAATTGAAATTTGACCATGACCTTGTACCGGTTTTTCTGACTTGGTGACCTGAATCAACGTCATCTGGACCTGAAATTTTCAGGTCATATGTAAAAAGGTTGCCCCATAAGCTGTGCCAAATTGAAAAATCTTAGGGGGAGGTTGCATCAACCCCCCCCCCTGCCAGGGCGAGGGATAAGAAGGCGAGGCGTAAAAACATTCCCCCTACGGCACTGGCTAAATAGTTCTTCTTAAATTGACATTTGTTGTATCGAATTACTTTATACCTAAATGAACTTCCCATCTCAATTCACACCCCGTTGGGGTGTGGGAGGGGGGATGGAGGCACGCGGCCCTTACTTGTTCTGACATATCTCCGAAGGTAACATTTACCACTGAGATCACCATCATATTTTTTGTACATCTTCCCTTCAATCCAACCCACTATCAAACCACAAATCAGAGGCTGGAAGCAGTACAGTTCCAAACCGGATTTGTAACTGCCTTTGGCTATTTTAGCCCACGTGGCGCAAGGCTATGCCCATCAACGGATTTCTTGTGATTAACTACGTTCGGAATTCGGATATACCTTTTTTACCGAAAGATAAGTTTTAACATTTTTGTATTTTTGTATTTTTGTATTTGACCTAATTTGATATGACATTGACCTGACCTCTTGAACCTGGACTGAGCTGTCCATAATGGCCAGAAGTTCCTCGCAAATGAATGTGAAAAGTAAAAGTAAAATTGACCATAAAATGTGATGCATAACTCCACGATTATTTTGCATAAATGTGATTTTTAACCTAACCTGTGTCACATGACCTGTGCGATATGACCGGATAGCAGTAATGTCACAAAGCAGTACATGTCGTAATGCTCAAATTCATTATCGACAGAAAATGATAAAATTCGTTTTCATCGGAGACATCAAACATCCGTCTGAAGTCTCGTGTAAGACGAAACAAATCCAATTTAGCCTGATTTATGACGTCATCGACGACAACTAATGCCAATGCCACGGAATCATCAGGTAGATCTTCGTCGGAACTACCGATCGCCGTTTGATTTTTTTCTTCTTTTAATCGGCGCAGTGGTTTTGGAGTTAGCAGGATGGAGGGGGTAAAATGGTCCCAACCCGAGCACAAGACGGGTCTTCTAACGCGCGAAAAAAAATTGTCACATTGCCGCCCCGATTTGCGCACGACAAAAGGATGGGTTTTAGCAGGATGTATTTGAATAGCATTTGTTAACAGAATACAAAGAGTTCGCATCGATCATGGTGGATTCAGGCAATCCATTCATGTAACTTCCATAAAGAATGACGTTAATTAAATACGCCACCGTGAGCTCGTGTTATTCAATCATCGAGGAATTCTTTAAATATGGCTGTGTTACATCACACAACCATGTCTGCCTGAGCATAGTGGATCCAGTCTCCTGACTTAAGGAAACTCTACGTCTTTCTGGATTGACGCGCTGATTTTTAAATCAAATATGCCGCATGACGACCTTTTAACGATGACATGACAACTGACAGTTATCAGATTGTTTTCATTACAATTAAGTATATGGTGTAAGGTTGCAAATTCAGTGTTTATCCTGAGCGGATGCACGTCATGGATACTCCCAAGCAGCAAGCGCAGCGTGCTCCATTTCTCTGTTTGTTTTTTTTTTTTGCGGAAGTTTCGATGTCGAGCGACTGGTCCTTTCAAACGGGCGTCCGATCCATATGATACGTCCCACACAGTCGGGTTCGATCACATTTCACGAAAAACATGTCATTAGTAGCCAGACAAGGGTCAATATGATCTCCGATCTACACACTGGACGGAAGATTATCTATATGATGGAAGCCAGACTGGATATTCATTCTGTGCGGGCCACTTTTATCTGCCGACTGCTACTGCCACATGTTTGTACCGTAATCTATTTATACAAAATTCTATACCAGACTACCGGGCTGGATTTTCGACTTCAGTGAAACCATGGTTCTATTTCGTATCAATGAGGTAGACATAAATGGAAAGGCCAGCCCATAGGAAAAATTACGGTACACGCACGATGAATCAGAGCTCAAAGAACAGTGCGACGCATCGTAAAATTAGATGTCTTTATAAAGAGAACGGTGCAGCCCATCATAACTCATATAACCTAATGAGCATCAACACGTGGCATTGTCCCAAATCAATGGCCCATATCAAGCTGACTTCTAAGGGCGAATTTATGAAACAATTGAAATGTTTTGGAAAAACACCCACACGCAATCCTCCACTTGCCACCATCACGATCAGTCGATCAGTCTATTCCGATCGGACAACCGTCCTAGCGCCAGGTCAGGACGACGGCGTAAAAGTGGATCACCAGCTTGTTCAGCATGGCAATCAAAACCGAAAGATGCTAACTAACGTGCCCGGCTTGGTGCGCACGTTAAACTTTGGACTCTAAATTCTGCCATAGAATCGGAATTGCGCGATCGGAGGGTAGAGGGCAGGGTGATCGCAACAAGCTTTGCTTAGCGGTGGCTCTGTCCTTGTGAATCCTTCCCATCAAAAGGTTCGGACTAAATTGATAAAAAAAATATATTTTGGTCAATTAAAAGTTGCCTTCCAACTCAATGATTTTTGTTTTGTTTTTTTACTCTAAAATACATGACAGATGCTACCGTGCTGTCAAAAAATTTAAAGAAATATAAATTTATGCATAAAAGTTATTATGCTTAACACCCATTTGCTAGCGTAAGCACATCCATTTGTTGCCACTCATAGTTATTTTGGAAATACTTTATTTCAAACCACATAATAATGGTTTCTATGTTTTTGTATATGTAGTTCTGGCTAGTTTGGCCAAAAACAGCATTTCATGTCTTAGGAATGGGGTTCGCTTGTTTAAAGGATCTCCATTCAACCCTTCATAACATTCTCTCCAAGTGATATAAATGAACCCACATGCATACATTTTATAGGTTGAAATCATTACATTCCCAACAAAACATTGAATAAAAACGTTAATATACAAGCAATCTTTCACGAGCCTTTACATCAGCCCATTATTGGATGACGTGTAATTCTGAGTGGCAGAGAGCCTTGTGGCAAGTAATTCGCAAGGCAAATAATTGGTGGTAGCTAGCCGACCATAGCTGCTGGCGTGTTGTATGGTCCTTAGCTCCGGTAAACAGTGGGAGCTCACCGGAGCTAATCAGCGTTACGTGGCCGTCGGAACTTAAGTGGGGGCTCCGTAACCGCCAGGATGCCCACAAAACTATTATACACCAGACGGCATTGGACCGGGTGCAGCAGCGTAGGTATTTGTTTGACTTGGATGCTGACTTGCAAACTCGACAACTCCAAATTTAATATAACTCGGACTTCGCTCCTCATTAATATCATTCGTATCAGCCATATTCCCAGAATAAACGAGATGTTTTCATGCTGCACTTCATTGGCCAATGCATTGCTGTTTTCTTTTTTACTCTACAAATGCAGAGGATGGTCACGATCCCAGCTAGGGCAAGTGTTGTCGAATCAATAAGATTGACAATTTCGTACGTACGACTGAAATAAATTTCTCTACCCAAGAAAGCTTCAAACTGTCCCTATATGCGATACTTTCACGTCATTAGCAGTGAGCACCTTAAAGGCAGGCTGCTACAGGACCGATCAAACAGCTTAGCATCATGGATAAAAGCCCATCATGTCCGAATTGCAAACAATTTAAGCATGGTCTTATGCAATTCACCTCAAATGTATGTATTATATAGATACACATATGGTGTAGATTGGATAATGTTATATTAAGTTTTTTTTTCAGCAGTATTTAAAATTGCACAATTACGTCTTATTTTGTTAGTAAAGGGATGGATGATTTGGCAGTGATCTGAATCCATGTAGTTTTATGAAATTATCCTGTTTGTTGAGCTTATTTCAACCCTATCCTGAAGTCGGTGTCGGTCACTTTGTCACTCCGATTCCAATTTGCATAAATAGAACTCTTAGGTCTCCTACTTAGGACGACAAAATTTGCTTTGACCCCACAGTCTGTTTGAAAAGTACCCCGAAAAACGCTGATGGGTCAGGGATGGGCCAGAGTATTCCACCCTGGTCAATGCCCGCGGGTCCAGGGTGTGATGATTATTGATTACAACTCTTTACTTTACTGTATGCCTTATCATAACACTCTGCCTCGACAATATCGACGGTTAATGTCGCGGTAAAGTAACGTCACACACGGAAGGGAGAGGTACAATTTTGATATTCTTCATGAGACAAAACGCTATGGCAAACGACTAGCAATGCTGTATAAGTTTTTAATGCATGCCTTTTCGAACAGCATGAGATGCCTCAAGTGAACTCCCCCCTTAAAAATGCATTTAAGTGCAAAAGGAAGGATGGTTCCCTAACGTTTTATTTACAGTAATGCTCAGCAATGTCAATATTGACGTACTACTTGAACCCGAGGCTAGCTTATTCAAATACCCAAGTGGTGTGATATGCCCAGCCCAGTGTACCATAACACATTCCTCGTAAACAAAATCAACAAAAACAAGACACCATAACTCGGAAGAATCCTGCCCGGCCTCTGCTAGTGATACGTATCTCCGATACAGGCCGCCCGGGCCGGCCGGGACCGGCGCGGCGCGCGGAGAGCGCGCACGAGACGGCCGAGGGTCGGCGCGGCCGGCCACTGTCGATCGGACCAACTCACCTCATTATCGCCGACCAAACTCACCTCGTTATCTGAGACATCGGCCGGCCGCTGAGGTCGCACTCGCTCCTGGTCCTCTATCGCCTGTTCGGCTTTCTCCACAGGTGGAGAAAGCCAGGTCTGTTCGTCAGGGTCGGTGGCCGGCGCCGGCTCGGCGGCGGCCAGAGGGGCAGATTTGGCGTCGGGCGGCGGCGGCGGCGGGCTCGCCGATGGGGGCAGGTGGTCGTCGGAGGGTTCCGGGTCGCTGGCGGCCGACGCGCCCCTCTCTCGTTTGCCGGCCGTGTCCATGACGCCGCCTTCCGTCGCCCGAGTGTGCTCACTGAAGCCGCCGCCTCCTCGGCCGGCGCTGGCGGCCGCTGGTTCCTCGTCCGGCCGCGGCGCGGCGCTGGCGTCGGTCGGGTCACCGGCCCCCTGCACCATCGCTAACTCGTGCCGGATGCTGAGCTCGGGGGGCACTGGTGAGGCGCACGGCTCGTCGCTGGTTGTCGCAGAGTCCTCGCAGAACGAGATATCGTTCCGCGGCGGGGGCTCTGGTCGTGCTTGCTCCGCAGCCTCGTCAGTTTCCCCTGCGGACTCTGGAGGCAGCTCCGCCTCCGACTCCGCCAGCTCCTGCGCCGCCATTGAGGGGGACGCCGTACCCGCAGGGCTAAAGCCCTTTCGGTCTGTGCGCATGCGCCGCAGTGTGTTGCGCGCCTGCCTGCGCAACGCTTCGTCGATGCCCTGCATCCGTTCTTTGCTCTTGCGCACGCTTTTGCGCAAATTGTCGACGCTCAGAAACTTACGGAGCGGCTTTTTCTTGCGTCTCTGCTTGCGCTCTTCGACGGGCTCATCGTCCGTGACTCGCGTCTCCTCTCCGATGATTGTGATGGGAGGGCGGGTCCTGGGCAGGGTGGCCGCCGCCGCCTTCTCTGCGTCTGGCTCAAGGTAGACGCTGTAGTGGAGTCGCGTCAGAGAGTAGGTCCTGGCGCGCGGGCGGGCGCCGGCCTCGGCGCCGGCCGCGCCGGCCCGGTCCGACGGGAGGTCCAGCTCCGCGGCAGCCGGAAGGTCCGGCTCGCTACAGCTACGATCGGTCTCCACCACGAGCTGACTGGAGCTGGGCGCCCGCGGCACGGCACCGCTCCGCCCGCGGCGCCGCTCGGGGGAGGGGCTTCGGGCCGGCCACCAGCGCCCCCATCTAGCCGAACCGCCCAGCATGGCTTCGGGCTCGCGTTACTCGGGTGGGGAGCGGCGCTGCTGCGCGTCGACCACAACCACCGGCGCCCTCCTCAGCGGCCCGCGGCCGGCAGACTGTGGCAGAGGCCCGGGTCACTCGCACTGCCAGCCGCCGCCGCCGGCCCCCTCCTGCACGGACTCGAAGGTGCGCACTGCGCAGCGCCCCTCTCAGCAAACGATACCCGCCGGCTGAGATCTACTCTGGTTTAGCATTTCTGGTTAGATTATTTTCTTTTAGGATTTGATTTAACCACGACTTACACATGGGATTTCATTGCATGTGTCTTTGTTTGCTTCGATCGCATATTTTTGTAGTTTTTGTTTGCTTGCATAGCTCATGATATTCATTGCGCAGCACATGAACAGGCATTTCTTTTGCGAAAATGAATGGTAGAATAATATTGGTGAGGTCTAAAGTCACCTCAAGTCACAGAAGGGAGCCATAGTTAGTTGTGAGTCGACATGATTATTTTTGCTTTCCTCAAGTTACTGTTTCGTATCAAGCAAGCTATTCATGTAATGTGTAACTGCTTATCAACAGCAAGCTCAGGAAAAATGTTTAAGAAGGTTTAAAAAAGAAATCACTCGACATATACGATGAACGTAAAGCATCTTCGTGCAGTCTGGAAGCCTCTCCACCCATTTCAGCATATTACTAATGAAAGGTCGGGAGCAGGAAGAGCGAGCGAAGTTATTTGTAGTTGTAAAAAAAAAAGAAGAAAAAAACTCAGCATGAGAGGCCCAGCCCAGACTCTGTTTTTTATTATAAGTTATGTTTTCATCTCGGCAACAGCTCCCGACCGAAATAAGGGCACCAGATATAATCATTTTTTATCATTGAGTTGCCTTCTTTGTATGATGCATCGAGCCTCGAGGTCCCGTCCCGTCCTGGCACCTATTATATGCGTCAAATTAAGGGTATCAATTTTTTACCATTTACGAGAACATCGCAAGGATTAGACCAATGAAGATGCAATGCAACTGCATCTATCGTTGGGACCTCTACGGTAGATTCAGTGGGCGATGCATTTTTCCAAAGCTGTTGCGCCGTATAAGGAATATCTAGTTGGGTGACTCGTAAATCTCTAGTTGGGATCTCACGTTGCACGAGGGCACGAATGCACAGCCCACTATCGCATTCGCTCTTTCATCGCCTAAAAGGCGTCTTACTGGTAATTGTTTCACAATGCGCTGTCGAAATTACGAATAAATTTGATTGAGATGAGCAGAAGGCATGATGACAGAGGCTTATTGATATGCAAGATATAGTGGCACAATGATAAATGATTGCCAGCAACTAACGATTGCAGTGACAGAGCCTTTTTTGCCTTATACAAAATCAGCTCTAGATAAGAGAAAACCTGTGCTTGAAGTGTTGAGATCCAGCCTTCCCACACAAAAGCCCAAATGTTACGCAATGTCAGATATTAGCCATTTCACGACTGTTATTTGGCACACATTTGGTCACATTTGGTGCGATTCGGTCAAATTAGGTTCACAGTTTATTTCTAGTAGTTTCCAGCTTATATTCCACTAGTAGCTTATACCGGGTGCCCCCCCCCCAAAAAAAAACGTTCCGAACTTTGGAGGCCTATATATCAAATTCGAGTGCAAATAATGAGCCAAAATTTTCATCAAGGTTGCGTCACTTCTTTGCGCATTGGTATGCCAAATTATAACACTGTAACATTATTTTCAAGCCAGCAATCTTATGTTGAATTAAGTAAGACGTTTTTGCTTTTTTTTGCCGATGTTGAACGGCAGTAATGATTGGCTTAGACTACCATGTTAGAAAAAAAATGGAAAAATAGAACACGTGAATGAAACCAGCACGTGTGTTGTTATTTTAGTTTTTTTTTTGTCCCACTTATGTGCCAAATATTCAAATACTGAGCCAAAATAGTGTTAATGTCATTTGTTTTAACAAGTCTTGTTTCGAGCAGGAGTGGCACGGTGCATGGGCTACTGCTGATCGCCCTCCCTTCAAGAAGATCAAACAGTAAATCGACTACTGAGGAAAAAAGCTAGAGGGAATGTGTCACCCTGAGGCCTGAACCATCAATGAGACTAGTTGCCAGTAGCAGTCATGGCTGCAGGCCGTGGTGCCGAGATGGAAGTGGCCCGTTCACTCACATTTTTTAGTAAACATCTGAGCAAAATAGTAATTTTTACATGGCATGCTAGAAACACGAACCATTTAAAAAGTAATTGACCGAATGACATAAAAATCATACCATTTACTGAAAATGTATGCCGCATTGACTATTGGAAGTTGTAATGTTGTATCGTTATCGCTTTCTGAGAAATATTGATTTAAAGTTGGGAACGTTTTTTCTGGGCCACCCGGTATGTAGCCATCCGTGATTTAGGAAAACACCAGACTTTATTTTTGATTAAAACATTGAAACTACTTAATGGTATGAACATAATTGCTGTAATGAGAAAAGTGATCCCTATAGACTACGCAGGAACCCTTATGATTGCTAAATTCAAATTTAGCTCCAAAAATTAGCCTAGAAAAATGTAAAACTCGAAAAAGTGAACCGAAGTCATCAAAGGTCAACGACCTGACCTGACCTTCAGGCGACCTTGACATCCACCCTAATGCATGGGAGCAACATCAAATCACATGTTTGAATGTTTGAAACTACGAAAAGCTTGCAAACGCACGGCTAATGCGAGCCGACTTCCGCCGAATCGCGATTCCGTCCAAAGATGGTCTCGGAAAGTAGGTCACAGGTCAAAGGTCGTTTGGGCCAGGGTCATGAAATTTTCAGGGTAGGTGTAAAATTGATCAATGCTAGAGTACTGAAAGTTTCGTCGCGATCAACCGCTTTTTACGCGAGCTATTCGCGAAAAACCTGAGGGGCATCCCTTCCCCTGTACCGGCGATGGTTTTAACCGGCAACCGCCCGAAATGAGATCAAATGAACTGAGGGAGTCTCCAGGCTGCCAATCTCTGCGCGACCCCGACTGGTTGAAAGACGCGTTGAAAGACGTGCTGGGTAGATAACGACGTCGTCGCGCGTCGGCCACCGGCGCCCGGCCCCAAGAGGGCGGAGTGGGACCCGTTCCGCAGGCCGCCCTCCACGACGGGGAGGGGGATCCGCCAGCCCCCGCGGAGTCCACCTCGAGGAGGCGGGTCCCTCCAAACTCCACCGTGATAGGGTCGTTATATCTCCCCTCCGCCGGGGCGTGTGAAAAAAAACCGGTAGGAAACAAAAAAAAATATGCAAATTTCTTCCGTATATGGCATTACCATTCAATGATGGTGTTGCAGACAGACACGCTGCCAACTTCGTTCAGCTCGCTGAGGTCATTCTTGTGTAACAAAACATGAGTTTTTTGTCATATGTACCAGAACCAGGGGTGCGGAGCCGGAGGAGCCGGAGCAGTGAAACAATATAGCCCGGAGCCGGAGCCGGAGCCGGAGCCGTCAAAAAAGCGGGCGACTCCGGCTCCTTTTTTTGAAGAGGAAAAAATGATTGACCTAGTTCGGTTTGACAGTTCAAGGCAGTAAAACGTGCGGTGTTCAAAATATAGAAATGGCCTTGTTATGCAATTACAGAAGCAACGTGCACCAATCCCATAGTCTTGTTTTCTTCCATCCGTACTTAATTGCATAGGGGATGTACTGAGTATTGGAGCTGGAACCGAAGCCGGAGCCGCCGGAGCCGGACCATGTTACTCGGAGCCGGAGCCGGAGTCGATTTTTTTCTCCAGAGCCGGAGCCAGAGCCGGAGTCGTCTGAAATTTCCACGGCTCCGCATCCCTGACCGGTACATAATGTTTACATACGCATAATGTTAACGTTCATTTCCTATCGATCGATCAAATGTCTCTGATTTCGATCGTTTGACATTCAGTCGGCTCTTTATAGTTCCATGACAGTCCTTTTCTGGAAAAATGGATTTCAGACTAGTGTGGGATATTACAGGATAAACAATGCCCTCTGGCAGAGCTCCGGGGATATTTTTATTAGCTTACGGACACACATGACTGATATGATTCTGTAATTAGCTGATCGAGAAGAGAGACACATTTCATAGAACAAATGCTCTCAGTCAATAAACACATTATCTTTCGATGCCATTCTGGAATAATTATCCTGAGCCATCCTGAGAATTTAGTGAAGCAGCCGATACCTCTGCAGCGGCGTGATGAGCTGGCCGGGTAATGCTATCAACTCCATATAACTCTCCAACGGACGTACGTAGGCACGCGATGTGACAGGTGACCAACGGACACTACAGACAGCACTGTTGTGTAACTTGCACCGAATGGAATTGCAGAAGTCACAGACGTCTTATGTAACATTTCGTGACTTGATGCCAGGACCAGGAATGTGTTTTTGTTTACATAACGCTCGGTCTATGGCCAACCAGTTTCGAATGCTGACCAGCAAGCTAAGCTATCCTTCGGATAGTAACCACCAGTTTAAGGTGTGCATTATGAAATGCCCCGAAGCTCTGGCATCGTAAGGAGACGTCCTAACGTTCGCAATTCGAATTGACAATTCGCATTTTAACATTGCACAAGCCCACAGTCCCATTCTCGCTCCTTCTTATTAGTCGTTTTCACGACGGCCATCTGGTACACATTTGGTGCAGATTAGATGCAGATTTGGGGAAGTTCTGGTCAAATTAGTTTCATTGTGTTTCTTTAAAGTTATCAGTTTTGGTTTCACAAATGCTTATATAACTCTTTTTTGATTGCCGGAAGTTAGTTTCGATTAAAACACTGAAATAAAGTCACGATAAGAAGATATTTGTTGTAAAAGAGGTTTGGTGCAGATTTGGTCAAATAAGTGCATTTTCCAGATCGCCCGTCGTGAAAACAGCATATATCTCGCGCCGGGCTGGGGGTGGGGGTGTCTGAACCCCCCCCCCCCCCCGGCTCTTGGGCCACGTAGCGACACCCGGTAAGCCGCAATCGGAAAAACGTCATTAACCCGTGCCCTGGTAGGGGGGCTATTTTTTGCCCCCCCCCCCCTCCTCCAGTCTTTTCGCATTATCTCTAAAACTAGTGCGCCGATCGTCACGAAACATATTCAAAATGAAGTGATATAAATGATGTAATTATTATAATTAATTATCTTGGACGGAATCAAACTTATAATAAGGTAAACAGAGCTAAACTTATTTTTTATCTGACTTCGTCTGTCAGAGGGACTTCTCCTTGTTGGTGATTTCCTTAGATAAATAAAATAAAATAAACACTAGAAGCATGATGCTAGAAGGTTGTCCCACCATGCTGCAGCAGTCACACCATTGGTCATCAATATGTCATGTTTCATTCGATTTATAGTCTGTAACTCTGCATGCATGAGAGAAGCCATAAAACCTGCCCACAAATATCTTATTTATATGCGGTCTACAGTAAAACGTCGTTGGAATTATCCTATGACAATTTATATACACATACGCAGCGCCAATAACGAAGTAAACCATTCGTAAATCAGTTGGTAGTTTATAGATATAATAAATGTAAGTAAAGGCTTATGCATATCTAGCTGTGTTTAAATTTTATTGCCGTCTGACAACTGTAGGGTAGCCTGGGGCAAGACGCCCCAGATAATTTATTTTGCTACATAACTTTTATTCCACATAACCTGGAAGGCCAAATTTGTGCTCAATGCGTTCTTTGGACATTTTACTTTAATTTCCACCCCTCAAATTCATTTGCTTATGATCGGACTCCCAGCTAGGAAGTGGTTTGTGAAGCAACTGCAAATAGGGCGTTTTGCCCCAACCCCAGGGCAAAACGCCCCACGGCCTGGGGCAAGAAGCCCCATACTCTAGATTAAAGATTAACCCGCGCCCTGCTGGGGGGGGGTGTTTGAACACCCCCCCTTGTGGTTTTTCGCGAATATCTCAAAAACGGCGGCGCGGAGCGCCGCCGTTTTTGGTACACCTTATCATACATCAATTCTACACATGTTGTGAAAATTTCAGACCAAGGTCATTCAAGGTCAGGTCACCAGGTCACTTGAAGTGGCCTCACCTCATAAAAAGTTTCAATGTCTGTCATAGCTACACCGAGTGACCGATCGCTTTGAAACTTTCAGCGATTGCTAAGAGCAATAGCATGTACAAAATGTATATCTCAGAATTTTGATATCGATGACCTAAGGTCAGGTCAATTTTGCGACCTCCCCATTATAAGTCAATGGGAGAAAATTGAAATGCGCCTCTTTTGGACGAAAGGCATTATAAACACTCCCAAACACTGAATTACAAGTGTTTTAGACACACTGAACATGAAAATGGTGTCCGTGACCCCTGTTTATGCCCTGAGGTCATCTTAGGTCACGAATGGTATCTAACAGTTTTTCGCAAATAACTTTTGACAGAGGCATGCTAGAGCGATGAAAACGCCTTAGATGTGTTCAGCTCGACGATACGGATCGACTGATATGCAACATGACCCTTTCCGGTCAGGTCATGACCTTGACCTGAGGTCAAATTTTCAAGTTGACCTTTCAAGGTCAAGTTATAGTTCATTCGATGCGTCTTGACGAGAGGAACACGATGCCGGTAAAAGTAAGCTCGTACAAGGCTCGGGTCAAAAGTTATTGCAGAAAAACTGTTTCCGAAAAAATCGGCTATTTTTGCAGTTTTTGCCCCCTGCAGGCAAAACCGTTGAAGTTAGGTCAAATCTGAGAGAATTACTCAGAAAGGGCGTTAATAGGGCTATCGAATGCGCTTTCCGCGGCGCTGTAGCTCTATTGGTTCCCGAGTTATGCGTTGGCTTCTTGGAAATTTTCGACATTCGACCTGGAAATCGGCGAAATTTTGCCTTCAATGACCTCTGGTGACCTGACCTTTGACCTGACCAAAAAATTGACCAAAGTGATTTCCTCATTATTTTTGACGCTCTTTCGAACGCCGCCTTCCGCGTATCGCTACGTGGCCCTGGAGCCGAGTTAGAAGGGGGGGTGTTCAAACACCCCCCCCCCCCAGCAGGGCGTGGAAATCCAGGACCCCCAGCAGGGCGCGGGTTAAACATGCTAGTTGACTAAATCTTATATCAAAGGTCCGTTGGACCTTGGGAGGCATGGCACTGAAGTTAGCACCTTCCATCCTATCAGGTGTTCAGCTACGACACTATTGTATGAGCAGGTTTTTCACCTGCTTCATAAGGCCAAATAATAAATTATGGCAATGCAAATGTTAACAAAATACTTCCTTTGCCATCCAGTTGCTGAGAAAAGTACATATAAATGCATAGAAACATACCGTTCGCCAGCTACCGAACGTTAGGAAGTGGGTAGTCCGAACAACACATGAGGTAAAACGCCCCATGGGGCTTTTTGCCCCGCGACCTACTGGGGCGTTTTACCCCATCACGTAGTTCGGTCAGAGAACAACGCCTTGCACTCCAGGAAGACATAATTTAACACGTACCAAACCGGCATTGTAAGCGTTAGACAATAGTTGTTCAAAATACATAAAAGTCGTTAACCTGATGTGGACGATAAAAGAACGCCATGATGCATAATCTGACAACAAAACATAAAAATCACTCCAAAAACACATTTTTGGCTATATCTCCCTAAAGAGTCATCACAATTTATTTCCAGTCTGCTCATATAATGATCGTATAGTGCACGTTTTATAGAAGAGAGGATGTTTCCCCAGAACCTTGCCAGTTCCGAGAAACATCGGTGAGGCGTTTTACCTCGGCGGGGCGACTTGCCCCGGTCTACCCTACCTATATCAGCGATGCTTGATGAGTACGGCCGCGCAGCATTCATATAGAAAGTCGCACTTCTAGGGAGTGGGATGGACAGTTCCCTCGTTTCATTTTTTTTATAGAAAAAAAGTCGAACAAAAAGTGAGGTTCACAATTAAGCCAGGCAGGCGTCATTTGCCTTTGATTACCTGACGATGGCCTCTGATGACCTTTATTAACGCCTTCTAGGGTGTATTTTGGCTGATTCCGACCTATTAGTGGCGGGCTCCTGAACAAGAAGACAACCCTTATTAGGGGCTGGGGCGCGAGGGGGGATAACGTAATCCGACCCCTGCCGCCGGAAATCTCCAGATCTAAAGGGCCGATCTTCTAAATTGAAATGTCGATCGATTGCTCTTTTTTGGAACAACCTAATAAAAGGATATAAATGAGGGGAATACTACGAGGGCATTACTACTATTTAATCGGTTTATTTGATCCATCAGTACTACCAGCTTTGATAAGAGCTAAGGACAAGTAGTATTGTAATGGGGTAAACAATGGGAACCATTTTGAATTATATTCTTTTGACGTTAGGCGGCACGGGCGGACATCGATAGCAGCGCCTCTATCGGTCACTAGGGAAAGCTGGGCTGTAGGCGACGAAATACCGGCTGAGTTGTCACAAGTTAAATAGGTTTATAGACATCCGTCTTGTGAAAAAGTTGAACTTTTGCCTTCAATATTTCTACAGGCAATTTTAGAAGTGCCTTCACAAAGATTACAAAACCGTTTAAATTATTGTATTCACTTCGAGACTTTTCTATTGTTCTTGATGATGCGGGAACTATTTCTAATTAGTGTTTCTAGCTGAGTAAAAGAACATATTGTGCAAACGATGAAAAAAGCATAAATGGAAAATTTTAAATGCAATTTTCTGTAACAAATAATGGTAAATTCTCTACACATCAAGGAAAAGGTGCATGCTAACTGATAATTTAAAGTTCTTGGGGCCAGTTGGTTTCTTCTTTTCTTACGTCGCCCCAATGGCCGCGAAATCACTTGTGATAACGCCTATCGAATTGGCTACACATGTGTTTCGACAAAATGTCTTTTTCAAGCCTTACATCCCAATTGATAACAATTCAAAACAGAGGCCAATGTTTTGAATTGTTATCATTTGGGATGTAAGGCTTGAAAAAGACATTTTGTCGAAACACATATGTAGCTAATTCAAAAGAATATAATTCAAAATAGTTCCCATTGTTTATGCCATTACAATACTACCAGGTTTATTGAATGATTTTACTGCAAAAAGCGTCATGCAATAGAGAATACGCGATTGCTATGAAATTGCTATGAGATCTCAAAGGAGTGTTGCAAAAGTGGGCCCTAGAGATGCCGATTTTCAAGGTATAACACAATTTACCACACAATGTTCATAATATATTTATAGTGAAGGTCTGAGATTTCCATGGGTCTAACGCAAGTCGTTGCTGATATATTCACGGAAATCATGAGAGGACGCAATCTACCATTTGGGGTAAGAGGAAAAATTTAAAGAACATGATTTAAGTGATTTTTTTCGTTTTTTTAATTTTCAGATACCTTGTTTTAGTTATGAAAAGTAGGTAGGTACACAACTGTTGGTTCACAGGTGATGCTTCGAATGATGGTACATAACGTGCTGCATGCAGCACACGTTTTCATGCATAACATGCAGAAAATAAAAACAGCATAATCAGAAATATTTATAAAGTTCTGGTAAAAATGATGTCAACGGCTAAAAGGCATATTATTTGTATATCATAGATGACGGGAATCATTTGCATTTTTTAATGAAGCTGCTTTGTTTAAAATACAGTGCGCTCTCCACAAGTTATTTATGTTAAGTTTTCAGCAGCGGCAGCCGCGTTATCTGACCTTAGATACTCGCTTTGGACGGGCATAATCCATCGACTGTCACTCCGAGCACCGCACTGAGCTCTACGCAGTTCCACGTATCACAGGACCGGTCCACTGAGTTCCACACGGTCCACCGTTCTGATCCACGCCGCTCTCCGACACTCGGTCTCTCTGCGCCGTCTCCGACGCGCCGGACACGCGGCGCACTTGGCCCGCCCGAGGCCGCGGACCGGCCCGCTCCAAGTGGGCGCCGGGTCGCCGACTCACCGTCCTACACGCAGCACGCAGTGGGGCACACAGGTCGCTATCGATACGACGCTTGAGGCGAACCAAAGACCACGCGAAGACCGCACTGTGGGCAATCCACACCGTCTCGGAGGCTCTTGTGGCCTCGGCGGCTCCGTCTGCCAGCCGCAGTGCCGGTATTTGTGGACGGAGATTGGAGGGCCGCATAATTAGCTGAGCTCTGACAAAAAATCGGAGAAAGTGAGCCGAATAAACCGATCGGAGCTGGATAAGGAACCAGAAAGATGGGAAACAGGCAGGCAGCTGAAGGAAGGGAGAAAATTGTAACGTAAGAGTGAGCCTCCTGTCGGAAAATGATGCCTAACGGTGCGGTCATAAATTGGCTTCAACTATGCTCCAACTGTGCTCCAATTGGCTATTCAATATCCTTTTATCCTCGGCGGGGTGTTACTTGACTTTCGTATCCCCAGAACCATGACCCCGAATCCTCGGTCACACTTCCCTACATCGGACTGATTGTCATTTGTCACCCGACGCACTCATCTTGTTATTCGGTGGTGACTTTTTGAGAGGCTGGGTAGTGGGCGGCCTGTCCACCGGAACACTCTTATAAGAGTACCTATACTCCGTATTCGTGCTCCGTGGCGTACACGCCAACGAGACGAGCTCAGCCGCTGCGGTGCATGGTGCCTAATCGACAGTCATTCATGCATTGTATGAAAAAAGATCGAAAGGGCCTGGTTAAGAAAAAAACGAGTGACACAAAGCCAAGCACCACTCTCAGAAAACGGGAAAGAAAGAGAAGGGAACGGAAAATTGAAAAAGACAGGGGAAAGAAGGGAGGGAGTAGAAGAGAAGGGAATAAACGATGAAAAGACATGAAGAGATCATGAACGAACAGAAGGGCAGCGAGACAACGGACAGATGGGGAGAGAGCGAACCACGCTGAAATTTCGTCAGTTTGATTTTCTTAGTGCCGTGCCGAGGGTGAATGACGATCACGTTTCGTTACGTATCTGTCGTCGGTTTGTCGGTTCGATATATTACATTTGATAACGTCATCACTCATAAGCTGTTTGGCTGGAGAGCAAACCCTGACGTATGGCCCCGCTACTGACATCTGGCGGCTGAGTTTCACATCAATGTTTATCCTCTATAACAGAGGTGGCTGTAGTCGCTGTAGTACGCCGTTCTTACAGCAGCCCAACTAGGAATTTAGGAAATGGCGAGCAATAGGTACCCGCTCATAATAATGGTAGGTAAAGCCAAGGAATTATTGTTTCACACTGATCTTGCACAAAACACACATTGACAGAAGCGTCCTATGATGTACTCAGAGTTAGAGGAAATGGTCGGTCAGTTCGGTACTCAAAGGGAAGCGAATGGATGAAAACATAAAGCATCTAACGGAGGCCAGGCCGTCTTCGTACCTATATGTGACCTACCGTTTCCGCCGTTGGTGCTGCCTCCTGTGACCCTTCGGTGACCTGCGCTGGTCTGGCCGCCGCACTCCGCGCACACACGTGACCCGGCTGCATGGTTGCCACCGACAACTGGGCCCACTCACGTGATGAGGGCCCCGCCAGACCGTCTGATCGGGGCGCGGGTGTCCGGTGACCACCGCAGACCAGCGCGCACCAGGTGGGAGGGAAGCCACACCTTCTCCGGTGTCGGGTGTGCCGTGTGGGGACGTCTGTCTGTCTGTGTGTGTGTGTGTGTGTGTGTGGCGCCTATCACAGGCCTCTGTGGTGAAACACAAGTGCCGGCGAAAGGCGGCCACCAGGTAAGGTGTCGCGTAGCCTGATATTGTTTATCTTCGGGGCGAATATTTAGGACTGACATTCATCCAATGTGTGGGTAATCAGTCATGAGGAAAAGCCAGTCAGTCAGGCGGAAGCTAGCGTGCATCGAGGTAATTTGGTCCCAACTCGGCTTGTTCGCTTTGAAAAAGCAGTCTTTGGTAATTGCTTCCTGTCTCACCCCCAGTTTCGTTTATGTTCGTTGCTAAAGGATGGTGATAAACGTTAAATCCATTGGCAGTATTGTATGCATCGTGAGTCTAGTAGAAGTAATAATTCGTGCACGTTGAGAGACTCACCTGGATAAAGATCTCTTTGGCAATGCATTTGAGATTTGTTCAGCCCTTGATTATATTTTCAATCAGGCAGAGTAGCATGAAATTCAATTTCTTTTTTAATTATAGCATTCTAAATATTCTAGGGAACGACTATTATCGTACCGAATGCTTATTGCCTTTCCTGCAGGTACAATATAAAATTATAATTTGCATAATTAGTTGCACTCGGCCCGGCTATTTTAGGCAGGCCGAGTGTTCAGCTGACAACGGGAGGCGGACATTTTTTACACCCGTCAATTAGCGATGTGCATGTGTGGTTATGCAATATGCATGCATATGTGATATAACCACACGTGGTACTCACATACCGAGCGACGCTTAAACATAAGCTGTAATTGCCACGCCATATGTGGAAAGTCCATGATCTTTATGCATACATACACGCATGCATACCTACATGCCGTCATACTCGCAGGCACCAGAAACTTGGTATGAAAAGCACACATACCAACAAGACACGAACCACGTTTCTATGGGCATCACTGATCCGGATCAGTACCTCGTAAGGGCTTAGGCTGCCCATGGAAACACCCGTAATCCCTTACCGGTGATCCGGATGCGAATCCCTTGGCCTTGCCCATGGAAACGTGGTCAGCAAATAGGTTCCGATGTCCTTCCTTACCTCAGTGACTCGCGACGAGCCCCGGTGGCGCGATCTGGTCCCGTTGGAAGTGTGTTTTCCAGACATGGTGCTGATTCCAGGTCACTCTCCTTGCCTCCGTCACAGCTGCTGCGGCCCGGGGTGCAGCTGATTGGCCGTCTGGTTGAGTGGCTGGCTGGCAGTCTGGTTCAGCTGCTCCTTCCCGGCGTGACCGGATGAGTAACGCTGTGCCCGATCAGCCGCCGACTGCCTGCAGTCAAATCACATCCCAGCGGTAAGGACAGAATTTTCGTAGCTCCGAGTTGTCTGCACATTTACATCATACTCATGTGCATCATCTGCTTATGTGCTGTAATTAACCAGCGCTCAGGTGAAGGCTTCAGCCGGCTTCGCCGAAGGGGGAGTCGTATTTGGCCTCACTAGCCCGCGAGTTGCTGGGGGGGGGGGGCGTTAAACGCCCCCACTTTTTTCGCCGGGCCATAGCATAAAAACGGCGCGCCGCAGGCGCGCCAAAGTTTGGGTACCTGTAGGGAATTGATTGAAGTTTATTGTGACAAAGTTTCAAAAAAATCAGTCGGAAAATTTTTGAGATATCGAGGTTTTAGTGACGTCATGATTTCCGAGTTTTCGACCAAAAACGGCATATGTTCAAAAAATCATATAAAATCACAGAATAGACATACAGACATGCCGTAAACGCCATTAGACTGCCAATACCATGAGCAATCAAATGGCTATCTTCGATTATTGATTATCGTTCCGCATTTTCCATAATCTTGAACTGAATCTTGGCAATTTTTCGTGACTACTTCACGACCATGATACATGCATTTCTTAAATTGAACTTTTTGAGCCAAACACGTACACATATGATAAAATGAATGTCACCATCGTGTTCCACGCCCCAAATTACCTATAAAACATGTGTCACAGGCTGCGAATATCAGTTTTGATTTTCGGGTATATGTGCCTACCCGGTTGACCTGACCTTGACCCTGACCTATGCTTGACTGACCCCTACATGGAGCTGACACTCTTGTAGGCCTTATATGATGGATTGTGAACCGTTTTGACAGAGTTTGTGACGAGAGGCGCCCATTGCGAAGTCCTGAAGTCCATGCTACTGAAAGCCCGATTTCGGGTGTTTGACCTGACCTTGACCCGACCTGTGACCTCAAAATTCAACTTTAAAGTACTCATCTGAAGCGTCTCGTCGCGCTCTTTCGTTTGCCGCCTCGTGCGTTTCGCTGAGCCTATTGGTTCTCGAGTTATCGGCTGGGGGCGTTTAACGCCCCCCCCCCCCCCCCCAGCAAACGGTGGGTGGCGAAATACCCCAGCAACTGCCGGGTTAAATTATCTTGGAAAGTAAAAAAGGTAGAAAGAATTGGAGAAAAACAATGGATAGCTTGGTATAAGTAGGTACTTTCAGAACCATTCGAGTCATATTTGGATCAGGTCATCGATGAGGGCACTGGAGGTCACCAAAAATAAAATTATTACAATTTTTACCTGATTTTGACAACTTTTCACAAATCAGGGAATAACTCAGGAACGGGTAGAGCTACAGCGTCACAAAAAGCCGCATCGGATAGCTCTTTAAAAGTTTTTTTTTTCTGAATGATATGTTTAGATTTAACCTAGGAAAAGGGTATCCTCCAGAGGGCAAAAAACTTTAAATTTGACGTTTATGTGGAACATGTTTTTCTGCAATAACTTTTGACACCAAGCTTGTGTTACGTTTATTTTGCCGGCATCGCGTTTCTAACGTTGCGACGCGTCGAATGAATTATAAGTAGAGCTGAAAAAGTCAATTTGAATTTTCCATCAGGTCAAGGTCATGGAAAAGGTCATGCTGCATGTCAGTCGATTATCGTTGAGCTAATCATCGGTATTCGGTACCTCAACGAAGCTATATTTCTAAAAAGTCAATTTTACCTCAGGTGTATTTACTAAAGCGCAGAGGCGAAAGAGCAAGGTCAAGATCAGCTATGAGTTCCAGAAGAGAACAGCATGCACAAAATCGAGCAAAACTGGGTGGAAACGAAAGAAGACATAGTCAAGCTCATGGTCAAGTTCATGTTTAAAATTGATATAAAATTTGCACTTTTCGTGTATCTCACTTACCAAATCCTGCAATGTTGTGTTTTAATGGTAAACTGTAAGACGCCTTTTGAGGCCGAACGAGCGAGCGGGACACTGAAGCTCCATCCTAGTTGAGGTCCAAACACGACTACGAGGGTGGAGTTCAT